CTAAGTCGTCCGCACAAGTCCTTTCCGGTGCTCCCGGGTGAGCCCGAGGACTCGCGTCCAAGGTTCCGCGAGCCAATGCCGGGGCCGTAGACCGTGTTCACTGCGTTTGCGCAATCCCTTTACGTGCCCGCCCTCGCCGCGCCGCAAGCCCGCGGCACCTACGATTGGACGGGAGGAAGGCGGGCTGCCACGCTGGTGCCCCCACTTCCGGCCCGGGAGCAATTAATTTGTGGTCTTTCCCAAAGGTGGATGGAGAGGCGAGCGATTTCGGCCGCTGTCGCTACTGCTGCCCTCCCCTCCACTCAGCGCTGCTCTGGGGTTTGGCGCCTGGGTCACCGGGGACGTCCCTCGGGCAGGGCCCTCGGCCCCTGCCATGGATGAAGGCAGTTCCCGCATCCGCCGGCGGGTGTCTGTCCGCAAAAGGAACCGTCCCAGCCTAGAGATCCTTCTTCCCGCCCCCACCGCGGACGAGCTCAAGCCGGGCGATGACGAGAAGGCGGAGGAGGAGGAGGAGGAGGAGATGGGGGCTGGAAGCCCGCGACGGAAAACTGTGGGCGTACAACCGGTCGAGGTACAGCCCCGTCAAATTGCCCCGAGTTCCTCGTCCCATGTCCCACCTTAGGGGCCGTGATACACACCCGGGTCTCCTACTGCGCATGCCCACTGAGAGGAGGGGGGGTCAGCTGTGGAAGGCATGGCATTTGACACTAACATTTTGACAGCGTCCTTCTCGGGTGCAAACAATGGACCACTTATCTACTAGGCTTCGTGTGCTCACCTCAGTTTTGTTATTGTTAATTCTCACTTGTGAGGTCTTGCCTTATTGTCCCCGTTTTTATATAGATGTGAAATGCAGACCCTCGACACGTAAAAGTTGTTCACGCAGCAAGTAAGTGGCTTGACTGAGACGCAAAGGCAGACTTCGAAGTTACTGCTGCTTCTGCTGTACCAATAAAACCTACCAGTTATGAAGAGCAGACAAATTATATGCTGCGTACTTTCTTAAGCTAGTTACATTCACAACAGAAATCAGGCCCCGAGAAGTTAAGAAATGACACTTCTGGCTCTGACTCCTGTGTTTTTAATCACGACACTGTATCGCTGCCTCCGAGTTTACATCTCTTCTGTTTAGTAGACCACTGTAGGTCAGTGTGCAGACTCTCCCCCTCAATTCCAGATTCCTAGGGACAATCTTGGAGTGTCCAGGAGTACAAGCATGATTTTGTTAAAGGCCAGTCTCTAGATTAGAGTCTGGAAGGGGAGGGATAGTGCAGTATCAGAACTTCCAGTCAGATGACATCCCAGTAGATGTCTACCAGTCTTGTTACCGACCACTTGAAGGATTTAGCGTTGGCTTAAGAATTAGGATCCCAGCATCATCATGCACCAAGAGTGCAGTTTAGGCAAGTCACATACCCTCTCTAGGCCTCCATTGCTCTATCTGTAAAATGGGATGATAATATCTATTTCACAGGGTGATTTACATTTAGTTCTGTGATCCGTATGTGACCATCCTCTATAACAAAAGCCCAGCAACCAAAACGGTGGGATGACCAGAATGACCAGAGTCCAGAACGACCACGGCCCCTCACCCCGGCTGGCCACCCCCCAGCGAGCGGTTAGGGGCAATCAGGCAGGCAAGCAGAGTGGTTGGAGGTGACCAGGCAGGCAGAGGTGGTTAGGGGCCAGCGGTCCCAGATTGCGAGAGAGTGTAGGCCGGGCTGAGGGGACACCCCCCCCTTCCGTGCACGAATTTCGTGCACCGGACCTCTAGTTTAATTATATACTTGGTATAGCCCTAGGCCGGGACTTTTATTCTTACTAAAGCTAGAATTGACCATAAATATTTTTGTTTTCTTTCCAGAATAATGAAAGTGAAGAGGACATGTTTGGTGACTATGATAGCTTTGCTGAAAATTCTCTTATAGCTCAAGTTGATGACCTGGAACAAAAATATATGCAACTTCCTGAAAATAAGAAGCATGATACAGACCTTGCCACCGAAGATCTTTGTTCAGAAAACATCAGACATAACCAACTCAGCATTACTACTATAGGCAGCTTTACTGAATTAATAACAGATGAGCACACAAAAAATCAGAGTGGGCATGAAGATATCTCTATTGAACCTGGAGCTGATCTTTTGTATGAATTGCCTTCTTCACAGGTTTTATACTTTGAAAATTTGCAGAACTCTTCAAATGAATTGGGCAATCAGTCTACTAAAGAGAGGGATTGGAACTCATCCTCTCACAAGACTGTGAGTGAGGAATTGCCCCAAAATAGCATAGAGCAACCCCAACAAAATGATGAATTCTCTTCTAAAGTCAGAACTAGTTCAGATGTGAATAGGAGAAAAAGTCTTAAAGATCATCTAAAAAGTGCCATGACTGTCAATGCAAAGGCCCAAATGCCAATATTTTCTAGGACTAAACAGCTCAAGGAGACTCACCTGTCCGAAGAAATTAATGTTGCTAAGAAAGCAATTGAGTCATCATCAGATGATGTTGGTCCCTTTTATTCATTACCCAGCAAAGTGAGAGACCTTTATGTTCAGTTCAAAGGAATTGAAAAATTATATGGTAATGCATTTTGCTGGAATGAAAAAAATTTTGCCACCATTACCATAGTATTAGCGCAAGTCAATAGAAAGGAGATCCTTCCATGGTCATATAGTGCATCTTAAAAACAAATCAAAGTATCAATCCTCTTTCAACCTATCCCAGTTGTGCTACTGCTGAACCTCTTTCCTTGTGGTCACACTTCTCAAACGTATCATCCTTGCTGTCTCCCTTTCCTCACCTCAAATAATTCCCAACCCACTCCAACTCTGGGTTCTGTGTGCTCACTTAAGATATAATGACTAGGTTGTCTAAACCTAATAATACCTTTAGTTCTTAGCTTTCCTGACTTGTAAGTAGCTTGCCTGACACAATTGACCAGATCCTTTTTGAAACACTTCTTGATTTCTTGACATTCCACTCCTGTTTTGTTTTGTTTTTCTAACTGTCTAGCTGCTCCTCATTTTTCTTAGCTGGTTCTTCCTTGGCTGGCTCTGTCTTCTCTACCAAAATTTGTTGAATTCCTTTGACTAGTGAGATGTCTTGAGTGAAAGTTAGTAGTAGTAATACGACTGATTAAAACTAAACATCTTTAAAGATGGCTGAAAAGACTTAAGTGCAAAGAATATTAATAATGTCTCATAATGTATTTTAAAAATCCTGGATTCTTGCCTATATTTTAAATATGTGTTATTTTAGACAAAGAAGGTACAATTGCTGCCATTCTGGAAGATTTGCCTATCAACCAATCACTGCATAAGTATTTCTGAATCTCCTATGTTAGTGCCTTAAGAACCATATGAAAACATGGTTTCTCTTCTCAGGGAGAAGACAATTAGGTTCAAGAAGTAGGACTACAGGAAAAAAAAAGTCTAATATAAGACTATAAGAGTCTAATAAATCCTAAATTGTGAGATTTGTAGTTAAGAGCTAATGGTGTGTATTGCTCACGAAGGATATATTAACTTCCCTTTGCTTTTCTCCTAGCACCTTGTCCTTTGTTTAATCTGCATTTCCTGCCAGCATGAGTACCCTGAGGACAGGGCTCTATCTAATTCACCTTTTTCTTATATAACTAGCACTATACCTGGTACATTCTGGTAGGTTCTCAACTGCTGGGGGTTGTCAGCCTATTTATTCTGGCCCTGTCACTATAAACCTCAACTTTATACTGAGCCTTAGTGTCTGATCTATTAAAAAGGGATGATGATGATAATAAAAGTAATTGTTTTGCAGGTTACATTCTGTGTGAAGGACATGCCAAATTAGATTTTGATAATGATTATCAGTAATTATATTAGTAGCTTTAAAGTATGAACTTTAGTAAATAACTTTTTAAATCTTTTTACTTGTAAATTTAGCTTAATGAAATGACCAATTTAAAAAATAATTATGTGTGCTAAAGCAGTGATTCTCAAAGTGGAGTTCTTAGACCCCAGCATCAGCATTACCTATAAACTTGAAATGTGCATTCAGGACCCAGCCCGACCTCCTGAATCAGAACTTCTGGGGCCAAGTCTGACAGTCTGCTTTAATAAGCCCTCCTGGGTATTCTGATGTGCCTAAAGTTTGAGAACCACTGAGCTAGAGAACCTCAACCTTATACAGGGGCTAGCAAAAATAGGTTTACAGTTGCAATACAAATCCTATATAATAAAAGGCAAATCAACTGAATGGTGGAACGACAGGTCGCTATGATGTGCACTGACCACCAGGGGGCAGACGGTCAATGCAGGAGCTGACCCACAGCGGGAGCGCCACTTAGCCAGAAATTGGGCTCACAGCCGGCTAGCGCAGAGGCAGTGGTGTGAGCCTCTCCTGCCTCCGTGGCAGCACTAAGGATGTTGGACATCCCCTGAGGGCTCCCGGACTATGAGAGGGTGCAGGCCAGGCTGAGGGATCCCCCCAAGTGCACTATTTTTGTGCACCAGGCCTCTAGTAATACAATCTATACTAATAAAAGGGTAATATGCTAATTAGACCGGACATCTGGATGTCCTTTCGGACAAAGCCATGGTGGCAGGGGCCGAGGCAGAGGCATTTAGGGGCAATCAGTCTGGCAGGGGAGAGCGGTTAGGGGCAATCAGGCCAGCAGGCAGGTGAGCAGTTAGAAGCCAGGGGTTCCAGATTGCGAGAGGAATGTCCGACCACTGGCAGTCGGACATCCCCCGAGGGGTCCCAGATTGGAAAGGGTGCAGGCCGGGCTGAGGGACCTCCCCTCCCCCATGCATGAATTTCGTGCACTGGGCCTCTAGTAATTTATAAATGATAATGAATTATAAATAATCTGTTTTGTGTACTCAAAACAACCTACTTTTGCACATGCCATAGTGTAGTGGTTGCTTTTTTATCATGAAATTATATGTTTGATGTATTTTGCATAAATATTGAGAACTAAGTTAATATAATTTAAAGGTTTTTTTATTTTAAATGCTCACCTGAGGATATGTTTTTTAATTGACTTGAGAGAGAGGGAGAGAGAAACATTGACCAGTTGCCTCCTGAAGACACCTGACCAAGGATGGAACCTGCAACCTAGGTATGTGTCCTGACTAGGAATCAGACCACAACCTTTTGGTGTAGGGCACAATGCTCCAACCAACTGAGCCACCGGGCCGCAGTATAATTCACTTTTATAATGTTTGAAGATAAAGAATATTCCTAAATATTTATGATTTTGTTCATTTCATACTTTAAAAATCTGAGTTGGATAAAATGTAGCTATGGTCAAGTTGTATTATTGCACACAAACATCTGCAGTTTGGTAACTAATGGGTAATACCAGTCTGACTTAAAAAAAAAAAATTTAGTATTGAATTTAAGTAGTTAAGGACTTTTGAAAAATTGTAAATCTTTTTTCCTGAAATATTTTAAAGTAAAAAAGGTACATAGTTATTTGCAAATTTTTGAGAATCACCAAAAATGCACAATAAGTCATCTGTAATTGCCATTCATGTATAACTATTTTTAATACCTTTGTAATATATCCTGTTAATCATTTTTAAATTTAACCATCTATTCCCTCATTTTCAAGATGCAAAGAATTACATTATATAATTGTGCAAAATTCATTCAACCTTTGTCCCCCCAATGTCTTTTTTTGTTATATGTAAACAATGCCATGATGAGCATCCTGCACATAATCTTTATATGCCCCTTTATTTCTATGGGTGTAGCGTTCTAGAAGTATTACTAGTAATACTACTAGATCAAAAACAACGTGCAATTTTATTTTTGATACTGCTAAATTGCTTTCCAAAAATATTATAGTAGTTTATGCTCTCATAAACCATACTTTGCTCAGCTGGATTTTATATTAGTGGCCCTTTTATTTATTTTTGTCAACCCAGTAGGTAACAATTAAACATCTTTTTATGTATTTATTAGTCATTTGCATTTCTCCCTACAGTGAAATGTCTTGAATATCTTTTCCCATTTTTCTAGTGATAAAACACTGGTGCACGGTCTGAAAACTTCTGATGATCCACATTGTTAAATTATCCTACAAAGTAGTTAGACTAGTTTCCACACCATGTTTTGGATCTGACATGATACTTTTCATGAATGCTACCTTGCTAAGTTGTGGAAACGTTAGGTGTGCCAATTAATAATCCATCTTTCATGGTTTAAACTACCAGTTTAAACTGATATTTAGGCCATTCAAAGTTCAGCTCCCCATGAGAGCTAAGTAGTCCTTGGTTTGTACAAAACCTCATACATTTTTTTTCCTTCTCCTATTTCTCTAAGATGGTGTTTGGATGAATGAAAAAGGGAAACTTACATAGTCTCCTTGCAGAACGTAAGAGGAAAGCCTTAGGATTCACACAGATTGTGTACTGTCCTCTGGTGTCCCAGATGATGCCTTTTGTCCAGCAGGCACTGCCTGCCATGCTGGGATCTTAGACCTAAGTTTGCAGCTGGCGAGTAGGAGAGCTAGATGCCCATCCCACTGACCAGGACTGAATTAGAATTAGACTCACTGGCTGTGCACATCACACATTGGGGATTTTTGACAGTTAACATTGGTATAGTTACACTTACCATTATACGAAAATTGCTACACAAGATCGGATTTGATATTTTCTTCTTAGAAAACTTTCTAAGATTGAAACTATATTAAGGGAAAATAATGCTTTTGTTTTAATTCCACAGAATGGCAACATACTTGCTTAACCTTGACTTCTGTGCAAGAAAGAAAAAATTTAATATATTCCTTGCCAACTAGTGGTGGAAAAACCCTTGTGGCTGAGATTTTAATGCTACAAGAACTGCTTTGCCGGCGCAAAGACGTTTTAATGATCCTACCATATGTGGCAATTGTCCAAGAAAAGGTGCGATTTTTTTTTTAACAAGTGGTATTTGCTAATGCTATTTTAACATTAAGTAACTTTTTATTGACTGAAAAGAGATTTCTATTAATGATGAGGAATTAATATTTTTAGAATGTTAAAAGCAGTATGGAATACTAAACTGAATATCTTTTCTGGTCTAAACTGGTGGATTCAACTTCATTCTAAATGTTCTATTGATATTTAGCTTGCTTTCAATTATTTTATCAAAATAAATGAGTTACTCTGATTTTTTAACATCAGGAGACAATTGAAATTTATTTTCTCATTTATTATGTAGTTTAAAACGTCTTCATTTTGCAAATAGCAACATTAATTGGGATTTTTTTTTTAATATGCAGCACTGCACAAATTTGCATGTCATCCTTGCATGGGGGCCATGCTAATTTTTTCTGTATTGTTCCAGTTTTAATATAACTGCTGCCAAAGTGAGCACTAATTGTGACATTTCTTAGATGTTTATGTCTTATCTGTGACCTTGTTCCCATTGATTGGTATCTAACACAATTTTAGATTTTTTTAAATCCCCATGAGTACTTACTAATTAAAGTCCTTATTTATCTGTTTCATTTGTTTATTTTAATATTCTAGATTTCAGGTTTGTCAAGCTTTGGTATAGAACTGGGTTTCTTTGTTGAAGAATATGCCGGAAGCAAAGGAAAATTTCCTCCAATTAAAAGAAGGGAAAAGAAATCACTATACATTGCCACTATTGAAAAAGGACATGGTCTGGTCAACTCCTTGATTGAAACTGGAAGGATTAGCAGTCTGGGTCTGGTTGTTGTAGATGAGGTGAGTTGCTACTTTTGTAATTTATCAACATTTTTATTATACTAACAGTTATTAATATGTGGATCCACTTAGCACCTGTATGAGAATAAATAATTTGTTTTAATATATAGACAGTACAGATGAAAACATTTCATGCTTGATAATATTAAATTCAGTTTTGTGTCAAGTGTTTCTTGAAGAGTGAATATATGCGTGTATGTGTATATTCAATTTTATAATAGTTCTTATGAATTCCAGATGTGTCAAGATGTTGCCCCCAAACCTCATTAACTTAAAAATCAGTGAAATAATGCATATGTACTCTAGTTGCTATATCTAAAATGCTTAAGAGTTATAAAGCAAAGATTACTTTATTTCATATAATATGTGTATATTTTATATAGGCATTATATCCAGATTTACTTTTCTCCCTTTTTTAAAAAAATCTCAAGTTGCACATGATTGCTGAAGGAAGCCGTGGGGCTATACTGGAAATGACCCTAGCAAAAATCCTCTACACTAGTAGTAAGTATTTTTTCAAATGTGGTTACTAATTGATTTATGATCAAGAGATCTATAAAAGACTTATTTCTATTGCTAGCGAAATTACGTAGCCTAGAGTAAGATACGTAAGCTTTATGCCTTAGATTATGATTTCTAAGGTAAACGTATAGATTTTTGTTGGAAGAATTGATGAATGAGGATAATTGTTAAGATAAATGAAAGTAACATGTGAGGACATCCCTGTCATTATCTTTCATTTGCTAGCTATGTGTGCATAAGCAGATGACTCAACCTCTCTGTTTCTTCATCTGTAAAATGGGGATAGTAATGGTACTGACCTGATGGGATTGTTGTGAGGATTGAGTTAGCACATGTGACGCATTCAGCAGTGCTTAGCACACAGCACTCAACAAGAGTTGCTGCTGCCTCCACCTTCAGTATCATCATCATACCAATAATGCAGCATATTCCAGTAGTCACTTTAAGGAGCTCTTTTGCAACATCAGATAGTCTTCAAATGTACATGAAATATTTATTCTAAAGGTCTTCCCTACTATTTAATGATATGCTATTGCAGTAGCGTAACTTCTATATGCAAAACTTATTAATTGTAAAGGTCAAACTTTAGAATTATTTTTAAAAATTTTAATAGCAATGGTATTTACTAGTAGACATATTGTAGCACTTTATAATCATTCATTAAAAAAATATTTATTGAGTACATGCCAGGCACTATTTTAAGTGCTAAGCATACAACAGTGAATAAAACAAAGTTCCTGCCTTCATCAAACATACTTTAATGAAAGGGAAATAACAATAAGCAGATAAACAAGAAAACATGGTGTGTGAAAGCATAACAAGTTCTCTAGGAAAATATAAAGCAGAGAAAGAGAAGGGAATGATCACCTACTTGTCAAATCTAGTGTACACTGACTGTCCTTGTCTCAATTTTACTTCAGCAGTTGACTGTTTATCATTCTTTTTTCCTTTGAGTGCTGCTCCATCATTCTCTTTTGGTTTTCCCACCATTTCTGTGGAAGTGGGAGCCTGTGTTAGCATGGAAAGATAGCATAGCATAATGGCTGAGGACAAACTCTGGAACTAGATTCAAATTCTGGCTCTTTTTTTTTAATCTTTATTGTTGAAAGTATTAGAGATGTTCTCTTTTTTCCCCCATTAACCCCTTCTAGCCTACCCCCGCCCCAGACCTTCACCACACTATTGTCTGTGACCATGGGTTATGCTTCTATGCATACAAGTGCTTTGGTTAATCTCTTCCCGCCCATCCACCCATCTCCACCTGAGTTCTGGCTCACTTTTAACTACATACATGACCTTGGGCAAGCTATAGTAACTGTGCCTTTGTTTCCTTATGCCTCAAAAATGGATGATAGTAATAGAACCTTCTCACTGAATTTCTGTAAAGATGGAATGAGTTATCTTTGTAAAGCATCTAGCATAGTACCTGTACATAATGGACATGTGTTTGCTATCTATCTGTAATAATAAAAGCATAATATGCTAATTAGACCAGACAGCCAAATGACCTTCCGGACTTCCTTCTGGGCAAAGCCAGGGCTGCGAGGGCCAAGCCCCTTGCATGAATTTCATGCATCGGGCCTCTAGTATATATAAAAGCCTAAGCAACTGAACAACCGGAATGACCAACCAGTTGCTATGATGCGCACTGACCACCAAGGAGCAGACACTCAATGCAGGAGCTGCCCCCTGGTGGTCAGTGCGCTCCCACAGCCAACCTCCCGCTGCCGGCCAACCTTCCGCGGTCCCTCCCCCTGGCCATCCAAGCTCCCACGGTCCCTCCCCCTGGCCTTCCAACCTCCCGCAGCCCCTTCCCCTCATGGGCCAACCTCCTGTGGCCCGGATCGGCCAGATTGCAGATCAAGCCGAGGGACCCCATCCGTGCACGAATTCATGCACTGGGCCTCTAGTTGATATATATTTGTCTTTCTATCACCAGTGCCTTATACTTAATAGATAATTAAATGTGATGAACCTCTTTAGTTTTTCCTTCTTGGGACACCTCATTCTAAGCATGTTCATTATTACATTGGTGTTACCATAGATTCATCTTAGGCTCTTCTCTTATTCCCTTCTTCATACAGTTTCTGCTAATTCTCATCCACACTCATGACTTCAAGTGCTTCCTGTGTGGTGATGGCTCCCCCTCTGTATTTCCAGCTTATGGCTCTCTTCTGCGTAATATCATCTGCCAGCTGGACACTACTACTTGAAAATCCTGTGAACAGCTCAGATTCACCATGTCCAAGTCTAACTCGTTTCCTTCACACCCATTCTTCAGTCTGAATTTTTTGCCACTATTTGTCAGCCAGCCAGCCAAGCCAGAATCTTACAGTCTTCATTCTTGTACATTCTGTCAGCAACCAAATCTTATCTGGTCCATCTCATAAATATATTTTTAAGTTCTCTCCCTCCTGTCCTTCTTTACTACTAAATCTTTAGCTCAATGCCTCATTCTTTCTTACTTAAATTACCACAGAAAGCTGTCTCATCTGCCTTCAGCCTTGATCATTGCCATACCCCGCACCAAATTCATCTTCTTTAGTGCAGTTAGAATGGTATTTCCCAAAGGCAAATCCTATTAGTTTATTTTACTGTTTACAGTCCTTCATGGCTTCCCTTTGTTTCTACATAAATTCCAAATTTCTTAGCACAGCCTTTTATTGATTTGGCCACATGTTCACCTCTTCAGTTTCATAGTCTACCCTGAGGGAGTAGGAAGGGGCAACATTCCTCTTTCAGATACTACTTTGTATGGTAAAATTCAAGACAGAACACAACAGCAATGAAGAAGCATTTGCTAAGAAGACTTCTTTGGGTTTTGTGGGGTTTTTTGAATTCAATAGCTAGTCTGTGGAAAGCAGCAATTTTGAGCTGCCTAGGAAGTCATGCAGCTTTATGAGTTGCACTCTACCTTTATTTTAAAGTAAAGTTAATCTGATAGCAAGATCGCATAAAGAACTTTTCATGTGGCATGAGTTCATCCCCCATTCAGTCTTGCATCCTACACTATACATCTGTAGACAGCTGAATCTGTGGAACCTGTCATAACTCTTCATAATGACGGTCCAGTCATCAACACGCATTTTTATACTCATTTTTGTTGTTTAGGAGTCTTAATAAAGATCCTACTTCTTTTTTTTTCTCATTAACATGAATGCTTCTTTTTTCCTAGTTATATGTTTTAATTAAGTTCATACTGTTACTGTTGTAATTAGATAGTTATAAATAGTAGGAAGGGAACAAAGGGGAGGCCAGACATTATAAGCATGGCCATCCTGGCAACTTCACCAGTGTTGGGGTCCATCCCCGGCAGGTCCAGGGATTCCCATAGGTGTGGACGGAGTCGGCGAAGAAGGAGTCTCACGGAGACAGGGTTCAGTTGATCAGCATGGTTGGTTTTTTTTTCAAGATCCTACTTCTTGATACGGGAAGAGTTTCATTCTTTGATTGCCAGATTAATAATCTGATAATATATTTGTGTTTTTCTTACCTTCCCCCACCCCTTTCCCAAATCACTTAGGAAAAATTTAGAACCAAAAAAGGTTGCTAAAATTACTGTTATGATATAATAAGTAATAAAAAATTTTCAATACTTTGGTATTTTTGTTTTTTTAGAAACAACTCAAATTATTGGTATGAGTGCAACTTTGAACAATGTTGAAGACCTGCAAGAATTCCTTCAAGCAGAATATTACACCAGTCAGTTCAGGCCAGTATGTACCTGAAGTTTGCACTGTACTTATATATCATCTTACTTAGAAACAAAAGTAGCTATTGTACCAAATAAAAAAATTCTATAGAGTAGTGAAGGGCCATAATTCCACTCACCATGGCTATATGCTAATAAGAATTTATAGAGAATGTAAACTCTGGGGTCAGGGATCTTGGCTTGGGTCACAACTGTACCTGCAGCACCTGGAATAGTGACTGGCCTAAATATTCAATGAATGAATATTTATTGAAGGAAAATTTCCAGACATATTCTATTTGTCTACTTCTTATTCTATAAGGTAAAAGTTTTCACTCAGTCAAAATTTAATAATTTATGTTTTGAACTATTAGCACAGTAAAAAAGTTATCTTAAAAGTTAAAATATTTACACTTGGTGGTTATAATGCTTTTAAAATAAACCTAGGTTTTACATAGATTTAAATTTAAACTCCCCAGTAATAGTATTCCCAAAATGCTTGAAGAAAGTAAATAAATGTATCTGTCTGTAGTACCAGTACTAGTGTGCATGTTCTGAATGGGTTTTCAGAAAATGATTTTTAAGAATCACCAAATTTTAATTTGAAAGTTGATGTTTTTATATTTGCATCACAAAAGAAAAATTTAAAAGATATTTCATCACCTTAATTGTCAAATTAGGTGTTATTCTTTTGAACATGCAATGAAATATGTTTACAAACTTTTTGTCTACAAATACTTAAAAATAATGTGGCAGTTAGATTGAAAACTGATGATTAATGAAACAAAGTTTTAAATCTTGAGAAATAACTCCTTAATAAAAGATAAAGAGTGTGAACATTTAACTCATTTGTACTTGTTGTGAAAAATAAGGAAGTGTTTGGTTTCTGTTTAGACATGTAGCTATTCAATTCAAAAGTATATTTTAAGGATATTACTCCCTAATTTTACTTACGAGCAAAAAGAGACTTAAAAAAAAAAGAAATGGTAAAGAAAGTACTTTTAAGTTAAAGCATGTTTTTGTATACAGACCATAGAAAAGCTAAAATATTTGTATAGGTATTTTTACAACATATTTTACAAAATTTGTAACTCTGAAAAAAGGAATTTGTATGTGTTATTAATTGCAAATGTCCCTTTAATTTAAGGTTGAATTAAAAGAATATCTGAAAATAAATGATTCAATATATGAGGTTGACAGCAAAGCTGAAAATGGCATGACTTTTTCACGTCTCCTTAATTATAAGGTAATGTTAATAACCCCTGAACCCGAGATCCCCAGGTTTTGTGTCCAGGAGCCCTGGGGCACCACAGAACGTTCACATGAGTCCCATGGAATATTTTAGATTTTTAAGAGAAACCTCTGATGCTTGAAATCTGTTGGACACCATACAAACTACTGGTTCAAGGTAGTTATTTTCTATTTTCAACATTAGATAACACTACATTCCTTTCTATAATATCATAGCTTTGTGAAGATGGGGTTTTTTTTGCAGTTACTATAAGCAAAAACCACGTGAAAATCAATATGGGGCAGGAAATAAGGGTAATAACTACATTTGTCCAATTCCAAGCTTCAAAATACTGCAGTGTCCAGCTGTTCACACATCCCATTAGTGGGCCATTGTGGTTATTTAAGGTTTATATAAACATTTTTTAAAAACCTCAGAGGGAAGGCAGGGGAGGGTGGGGGTGGGGAGGAAGAAATCAACCAATGAACTCATATGGTATATGCATAATCCATAGACACAGACAATAGGGTGGTGAAGGCCTGGGGGGATGAAGGGGGATGGGAGAGGTCAATGGGGTAAAAAAGGGGACATATGTAATACTCTCAACAATAAAGATTAAAAAAATATATATTTATTTATATTTATTGACTTCAGAGAGGAAGGGAAAGGGAGAGAGAGATAGAAACATCAATGATGAGAGAGAATCATTGCTCAGCTGCCTCATGCTTGCCCCCAGAGGGGATTGAGCCTGCAACCTAGGCATGTACCCTAACTGGGAATTGAACTGTGACCTCCTGGTTCATAGGTCGATGTTCAAACTCTGAGCCACACCCGCAGGCTGATATATATATATATATATATTTTATTCACCTGATGTATATTATTTATGCAGACAGCTACTAAGTTGCAAGGAAATATATTCTTATTAGGTTGTTTAGACCTAACTCCCCAATAAATAAAAATGATAATTTTCTTAGCCTTGGGACTCCATGAACCAAGAAAATTTGCAGACCTCTCCCTTAAGTGTTCATTCATTTATCAACAACAGCAAAAAGGAACATTTGTGGACTATTTAATTCAGACATTGGTGTATGAAAATTTTAATGTCTACTATGTTAATGTTCTATAATATATGAAGGATATTAAAAAGGGGAGAAAAGGATTTTACTACAGTTTTAGAATTCTATGAATTCTAATTCATAGTTTTCAGAAAGTCAAAGGAAGTAAGGAGATTTTAAATAACTTTACACTTTTCATGTTCTTTGAGTTCCTTGTATCTGCTTGATAAATAATTTTTTATTTCTAAAAATGTACTGTAATATATGATTGAATCTATATTTTTAAAAACTAGTAGTAATAGTTAAAGATAAATCTTATTTGCACAGTCCTTTGACTATTATTAGGATCAATCTGTGTTTCTCTGGACATATTTTGTACTGCTTTGGTGAAGATGGGCATGCAGTGGAGTTATTAATAGCATTAGTGTTTTCACTTCTTTAATTTAAAACCAAATATACCTCACAAAATCCCAATACCATAAGAGAAAAGTGAGAATTAACATTTTGATATGTAATATAGGTTTCATTTTTTTCCTTTAAATGATCAGATTTACTAAATCAGAACTTCAAATTATGGTGGTTTACTTACCTTTCAAAGCTTTTATCATTGCTAACTACCTTGTTGCTGTGTCTTGTTATGCAGTATTCTGATGCTCTGAAAAAGATGGATCCTGATCACTTGGTAGCATTGGTGACAGAAGTTATTCCCAATAATTCCTGCTTAGTTTTTTGTCCCACTAAGAAGAACTGTGAAAATGTAGCAGAAATGATATGCAAATTTTTAAGCAAGTATGTTAATCTTTTAAAAATATTTTGTTCTATTTTATTTTTGTCATAATTTGCATGTTCTGTATTCTGTTTATTCAACGAGCACTAATTACTTCATGCAGAACATTGTTTTAAGTTGTTCTACTTGATTCTGAAGGCCTTAACCTTGAAGGAAGTTTAACTATGAAATTCACATATGTGAAATAGCCAGAGAAAAATTTCAGGACTACATGTAAGAGAATGCTAATACAATGGTTTAGATCAGTGATTCTCAACCTTGGCTGCACAGTGAATAGGGAACTTTTTTTTTCTTAATATGTTTTATATTAATTTTAGAGAAAGAGGAAGGAAAAGGGAGAGAGAGATACATCAATCGGCTACCTTCTGCACATCCCCTACTGGGGATCGAGCCTGCAGCCCGGGCATGTCCCCCGACTGGGAATCGAACCAGTGACCTCTTGGTTCATGAGTCGACACTCAAGCACCGAGCCACACTAGCTGGGCAGAGTTATTAGAATATTATTAACTATATTCCCTGTGCTGTGCTTTACATCCCCATGACTATTTTGTAACTACCAATTTGTACTTCTTAATCTCTTCACCTTTTTCATTATTTCCTGACAGTAGCTAAAGCTCTGGTCATAAATCTCCCTAAGAAATGATACCTCAGTGCTTCTCAGCTTAGAATTCAGGCTAAAATCTGACTTAACTTACTTTTCTATTCTTATTTCTCCTACTCTTCATTCACCCTGTGATTCATCCAAACTGGACTGCTACCTTCTTTGTTTATGCCTTGAACTTACCATTTTCAAGCCTTTGATAATGCTTTACCCTCTGCCAAGAATGCACTTTCCTGCCCCTTCATTGCCACCTTTCTAACACCTGTTCTTCAAGACCCAGCTCAGATCTTAAGTTCTCCCACAACCATTCTTCATACAATCATATCTTCTGTGATCAATTATAAATAACATCTTCCTTCTCTAAAATTATATGCTGATTATCTATATTCTCACTGCTTTTAAGACTTAATGCCTTGAGAAGTGTTTATCCTGTACATCTTTCTCAGGACCTTGAACACTGGCTGGCAAAGAGCAGCAGAAAGTCCTCTGCTCTACTAAGCTGTCACTTCCAATTTTTGCACTGATGACTTTTGACCATTTTCTTCCCAATTCTTCATTGTTCTACTTTTGTCTCTTTGCCTCCATTTCTCAACTTCTTATGCAATTACTGGTGTTCTTCAGTGAACACCAGCCAGAGCTTTCTATTCTTTCCATGAAACAGACCAAAATAACACAGGGCTGTGTGTATTTTATTTATATTTTGGATGATATGTGTTTGCTACTGGTATTTAGAAGTTGTTGCTTTACAGCCATTTGGTAGTTATTTCTACACAGTTTTTCTTTCTTAAAATAACAGGTGCTTCTAGATATAGAGACATTGTAAGATAATATTGAAGTTTCTAAAATGCTAGTGTCCAGACTGTCATATAGTATGGATGGTTTGATAATATATGTTTCCATCTTAAGAGAAGATAATTTATTAAAATAAGATAAATCATTTTCAATAAAGCTATATGATCTAGTGAAAAAAAAAGTTAACATTTAGAACAAGGCTCAAACCTGGTATCCAAGGATTATAGAAAGTACAGAAATGAGCTTCAGGAAGTCCATGAACCCTCTGATATTAAATGCAAAATATTGTGTTTATGTGAATATTTGTGTGATTTTTCTTAGTTTTATTCAAATTTTCACAGTGCTCTGTGATCCACACAAAAAAGTTGAAAGAGACTGACTAATTATGAAATCAGAATCAAAATTCTAAGAACATTTTATGTACTTCTATAACTAAAATTAATATTTTTAAAGGAATATTTACATGCATCTACTGAAATCAAAAGTATAGGCACTTTGTCACTATAAGATCAGGGTTCATATTTCTAACAGATCTTTTTTCCTAGGGACTATCTGAAACACAGGGAAAAAGAAAAACAGGAGGTAATTAAGAACTTGAAGAGTATCAGCAGTGGCAACTTGTGTCCTGTTTTAAAGCGCACTATCCCATTAGGAGTTGCTTATCACCATAGTGGTTTAATGAGTGATGAAAGGAAACTCTTGGAGGAAGCTTATTCCACAGGAGTTCTCTGCCTTTTGACCTGCACATCCACCCTAGCAGCAGGTGTTAACCTACCAGCTCGAAGGTGAGATATATGTCACTGTTGACCAGGCTCAAAACTTTTCAATTCCTAGCTTACCAGTTTCATTGTTGTTTTATCCTTTCTTGGTAGTGGGTGAGAATTTATTGTTTTGTTGTTGTTGTTTTCAGTATTTGCTGAGTTGATCCTTTGGTTTATTTCCTTTAATATTTAATGAAAAACAATATTAGTAGTTTTTCTGGTATTAAAATTCCTTCTTCCTTTTGTGCCCTCCAAATCTGGTTTTGTTTTGTAATATGTTTTTATTGATTCTAGAGAGGGGTGAAGGAGAAGGGAGAGAGAGAGATAGAAACATCAATGATGGGAGAGAAACATTGATCAGCTGTGTCCTGCACACCCTCTACTGGGGATTGAGCCCACAACCTGGGCAACCTTTTGGTACATGGGACCAATCTGGTTTTATGTCAAGGTTTATTATCCTGCTTGGGTAGAAACAGTTGGAAAGCTTTCCACCATTTTTTATCATATGAAAGAGTTTATTTAACATAGGTATTTCCTTGTAGAGAACTCATCCATAAAGACTCTTGAGTCTAGTACAGTGATGGCGAACCTATGACACGCGTGTCAGAGGTGACACGCAAACTCATTTTTTTGGTTGATTTTTCTTTGTTAAATGGCATTTAAATATATAAAATAAATATCAAAAATAGAAGTCTTTGTTTTACTATGGTTGCAAATATCAAAAAATTTCTATATGTGACACGGCACCAGAGTTAAGTTAGGGTTTTTCAAAATGCTGACACGCCGAGCTCAAAAGGTTCGCCATCACTGGTCTAGTATCTTTTTTAGAGTAGATCATTGATTACCTTTTCAGTTATTACTAAAGCTGTGGCCTGCATAGTTGATTTCTATTCTTCACAAATCTAAAGATTTGTGACTTTAAAAAGTTTTCCAAACAAATCGTCAATTTTTATAAAGCATCCATGAGTGTTAAAAAAAAATGTTTCCTTTTGAGTGTGCAGTTGTCTGTATCTCAATGAGATCACAGTTATTAATCATGTTACCAGCTCCTTTATTTTCTTACTCTTTGTGATTCCTTAATCTGTCCATTTCAGAGAGGTGTGTTAGTCTCCCATTTTAATTGTGAAGTTGTCAATTTCTCCTTTTTGCATTCTAGAAGTGCATATATTTCAAAACTATTTGGGTATAAAAAGGTGTATTCCAGCCCTGGCCAGCCCTGGTCAGCATGGTTCAGTGGTTGGAGCAGCAGCATGCCCACTGATGGATTGCAGGTTCAATTGCCAATCAAGATCTGTATCTTGGTTGCCGGTCCCATCCAACCTCTGGTCAGGGTGGGTGTGTGAGGCAGCCAATCAATGTGTCTCTGTCACATCTATGTTTCTCTCTCTCTCTCTCTCTCTCTCTCTCTCTCTCTCTCTCCACCCCTTCCTTCCACTTTCTCTAAAAATCAATGGAAAAAATATCCTGACTCTTTGGATGAGGATTAAAAACAAAAAAGGTTTACTCTAAATATCTTTTTTTAAAATATATATTTTTATTGATTTCAGAGAGGAAGGGAGAGGGAGAGATAGAAACATCAATGATGAGAATCATTGATCAGCTGCCTCCTGCACACCCCCCACTGGGGATTGAGCCCACAACCCGGGCATATGCCCTGACTAGGAATCGAACCATGACCTCCTGGTTCAGAGGTCAACACTCAACCACTGAGCCATGCCGGCTGGGCTACTCCAACTATCTTATTGTTAAATTATACCTTCTATCAATATAAGTTTTTCTAACTTAGTGATTTTACTTCGAATATGAGGACTACATTATTTTTGCCAAGTATATCTTTTTCCATTCTTTTATTTTCAACCTCTGTTATTTGGTTTTTGAAAAAAACAGGAAGTTATCCTATATAATAAAAGCCTAATATGCTAAGTGTCTGGTTGTCCAGTTGTCCATTCAACCAATCAAAGCATAATATGCTAATGATATGCTAAGGCCGCTCAATCGCTCGCTATGACGTGCACTGACCACCAGGGGGCAGACACTCCAACAGGTAGGTTAGCTTGCTGCTGGGGTCCGGCCAATTGGAACTGAGCGAGACAGGCTGCACACACCCTGGAGCCCTCCCGAGGTCCCTCCTTGGCTAGCCAACCTCCCACATCCCTCCCTGGCCCTGATCGTGCAC